CACTTCCCGCAAGACACCAATACCAAAAAATAATTAATTGTTACATTTAACTTTACACACTGAAAAATCCTATTGACTTTGGTAGGATTTCCCATAGGTTATGTCTACACAACAGCGTTGATTCGGAATAACTGATGTTACGCCGAAATAAAGAGTGTGTCTGTACTGCAAGCCTTTATTTGGAAACAATGGCAAGCTTGAGAACTTCTGGCTCCAACCCCTGTAAACCCTCATTTTATGAAGAGTAAGAGAGTTCTTCCTTAGACTTCCTGCTGCGTAGACAGCACCAAAGCCGAATAGGCTATTTCGGCTTGAGCTGCATCAGTTGCATACCTGATGTTGCATAGCTGAACTTGATTTTTGCCCTGCTGTCTAGACGTGCCCATTGTGTGTAAAATTAAACAGGCACTTAAGCGTTTGCAGGACCTGGTCCAAAAAGACAAGTGCAGGGTTGTGCACCCCTTGTATCCGAGTCCTGGTCACAGACTAAGATGAAAAGACCAGACAACAGAAAATTGTTTAGGCTTCCTTAATGTAAAGATCATGATTCAATCTGAAAATTACCAGATAACTATGGTGACGCTATTTAATACAAAATAAAGTCTGCAACAAAAAAGATGACTGGAATGGAAAGAGAAGCTGTACATGTAAGCGAAAAGTTCCGTATTAAAGAACGAGAGAAACACAGATCATGTTTTACACACCTCACTCATTTTCTTAAACCTGTTTCAAATGTCAGTTGTGGCTTGATGTTCCATCCCACAAAAAACAAAAAGATTAAAGAACCCAGAGAGCCTTCAAATATAAGGGAAACCACAATACCTATTTAATATCTACATCAGTGCCAGTTTGTGGATACAACATGCTAAACTACTACCACATTCACATTACTGGTCTTACCCATTGCGGGCGGCGGGGGGCGGGGGAATCAGAAGTTGTTGGTGATATTATGCAAGAAAATATTGCTGAAATTATTAGCTCATGGACAAGTTAAGACCTTCAGAACTGAGGGGCGGGGTAGAAAAAGCCCAACCTTGTTCCTAATTTGAGAGGGAAAGGATGTCAATTTAGGACATTTAGTAAAGCAAAAATGCAGGGAAATAAAGTATAATGATTCTTTACTTCATTCTAAACCTACTAATTACTGTTCAGGAAACGGTTCTAAAAGTCTCACTGTATTTAAGAGCGTTTTAGAAAGGTTGTCTTTTGCCTGCATTAAGTACAGTACGGAGAAAGATCACACAATGCAGCAAATATTACCCGAATTTAGCAAAGTTGGAGATCCAAGACTTTTTTTTTTGAGGGGGGGGCGAGAAGGAATGTAAAAACTGATTAAATCGCTAAGCTAGTTTTAAAAGGGTTGTTTACCTGCAGCACTGATCTCCGGCAGCTGTAAGCAGTCCTGGCAGACCCGTCTGAGCCTCCAGTGACAGACTGGCGGAGCGGACCAGAGCATATAAAACTCCCAGCAAAGCTGCAGTCATGTGACCCCAAGGCAGTTCCTTTTCTAGCAGCGCTGCTGACGACTCACAGGAAGCAGTGGGTGAGTGGCTCTCTTACGATCCGATCGTGTACTTGTGGTGAGAAGAATTACAGGTACCGGTAATTTTTTTCCCTTCCCAGGGAGGAGTTTAAGCCCCATTCCTAGACCAAGAGCTCAAAAGAAACGTCCCAAATCTGAAGAGTTTGCAGTTCAGTCCACGTGGAACTAGACCACCACTATGCTCGGAGCAGCTTGACGAGAGGCTTCTGGGCAGGGGTAGAGGCGCCACGGGTTTTTACAAGAGGCCAGAGAAAACATTAGTCACAACTGGAGACAAAGCGCCTCCTCCCTCCCATTCACCAACTGGAGGAGAGCTTTATTCATCTGGGCTGGAGCCCACGTATTCCATCTCAAACCCTGCACAGAACATCCCTTCCGCGTGGCAGGCATAGTCCCGTTGCCTTGAATGCAATCTCCACATTTAAAGGGAACGATCGAGTCCTTTCGAGTCTCTCCCCAACCTGAAAGCTTTACAATGAAGAGCAGTGGCAAGGTTTTGTATTACCAAGGCTTCGTTAGTTTCAAAACTTTTACAGGTTTTGCTAGGCTGTGGAATTACAAACTAAACTAAGGTTACTTAAATGAAGCAAGTATCTTTTGCATGTTCGTTAGCGACACTCACAAATTAGTAATTCACAGTGTGTCTCCTGGTCATTGGCATGAATTATTATTAGCTGTACAACAGTAGCACCCAGAGGATCAAGATCGGGGCCTCATTATGCTAGGCACTGAGCACATGGACTGCCTGCTTTTTCAAGGCATTTCCTAAGTAGACAAGGCAGACAAAGAGCAGGAGGGAGAACAGAGATACAAAGTGACTTGATCAAGGTCACCTAGCAGATAAGTGTCAGACAGAAACAGAAACAGAGTTCTATGAACCCCCAGTTCATTGTTCCATCCACTAGGATATTTAAAAGTTTCTGCCATATCTGAACATGGAGACAACGCCAGAAATAAAAAAAAAAAATCACCTCTGAGCACACAAGTCTGAGATATCATTTTAAATTGTAGTTAAGTATACTATTTTTAGCATAGATACAGATAAGAGCTCCACACTGAAGTCACAGGATAGAGGATGGCCAGTAAAGCAATATGCTGCATACTGACTAGCAAAGACTGCGATGCTAGATTGGAAAAAAACCTGGACTAGCCAGCATGATTGCCACACTCTTAGTGGAAGCCAAGACTCAACTATAGTAGGACTTCAATATTCCAAGTGCTCTATCAATGTCTTCCCCGTTTAAAAACCCCCAGCCTTCTGACCAGCAGTATTAACAGAAAATTCTCTAGGGACGGGTCAGTCCTGTGTAAGACTCAAAAGTGCTTTGCAAAAGCAGTTAGTCATTTCCATCTTACACAGGAAAGATCGGACTCAAATGAGTTAAGTGACTTGATCCGTGTCACCCAGAAGATCAGGTCTTCAAGTCCCAGTCTGTTGCTCTACCCACTGAGCCACACTTCTACCCAATGAGCAAAGAAAACTTGAACGACCCAGTTCTGAGATTCTAAAGTGGATTTGGCTTTCCAACCAAGCCAGAAGAGATTTAGACTGCAAGCCGATACGTCTTACCTAAGTTCTGCAAAGCGCTTACATGGATGGTGCTACAAATATTTATAAACAACCACCGCGACATCATATTCATGGATCTCCAGCTCCTTTCCAGAAGAGAGAAAGGCCACATCTGCACGTCAGGGACTAGACCAGCATTGCTATGTCAGCATAACCTGAGCACACGCAGCCAGCGCCTACAGAAGAATTGTTCCATCCGTGTAGGACAACTCGTGTCACTCATTGAGGTGAAGTCAATGGAATCATTTTTCCATCAGCCCGGCTACACCTACCTTGATGGGTTAGGTTAGCATAGTTACATCACTCAGGAGGGTGGATTTTCCACCCCCAAGGGAAGTAGCTATATTAAGTGAAATGTGACGTGTAGGCAGACCAGGCCTGAAGGTTGGCTATGCCTAAACTAAATCTGATGTTTGCAAGGAGACAGACAAGTTCCTGAAACATGGAGGGCAGAGGAAGATTTGCTGCCAAGGACGACAAGAACGCACAGCCTTTCCCAAAAAGAAAGATTTAAAGGAAAGCAATTTCACGTAACAAGTAAGCATCCTGTTACTCAAGTGTCCCTTGTTTCAATGGGCACACTCCATTTTAGTCCTAAAGTTCTCTACAATCTACATCAATGTGGTGCCTCCCTTACTTTTAATGTTATTTACTTCAGAACTACAGAACCAAGCAGTGGATCCAGAAGGGATCCGGGTTTAAGCCTCATTTTTGACCATACAGGGCACAGAGACAGGAATGCAGACCACAGCAACTTTCTCGCCCATACACCACAGAACAGGGCAATGCTGGGTTAATGTTTCAAATCCATGTGGTTTTAAAGAGAATGCCCAGTGCAACAGTGGACTGTTTTCCCACATGGTCTGGGAGACCAATCTACGGCTATGTCTAGACTGCAGGCTTCTTTCGAAAGAGCATCTTTCGAAAGAGCATCTTTCGAAAGATCGCGTCTAGACAGCAGGCGGATCTTTCGATAGAGGAAATCCGCTTTTTCGAAAGAGAGCACCCAGCGAGTCTGGATGCTCTCTTTCGAAGACGGCCTCTTTACATTGAAGAATGCCTTCCTTCGAAAGAGGAACTTTCGAAGGAAGGCGTTCTTCCTCGTGAAACGAGGTTTACCGCCATCGAAAGAAAAGCCGCGTTTTCGAAATAATTTCGAAAGAACGCGGCTTGAGTCTGGATGCATGGGAAGTTCTTTCGAAAAAAGGGTACTTTTTTCGAAAGAACCCCTGAGTGTGGACACGGCCTTAGTGGTGTAATAAGGCTTGGCCTTGCTCATGCCAGTGGGACAAACTATGCCCGAATGCAATTCAAGGGGGTGAGTGTGAGTGTGAGTGGACACTATTTTGTTTTGATTTTATGTGATTTGCAAAGATTCCAGGCTACATATACACAGGGCCGAAGGCTCTGTAGTGGCTACTGCTATACCGAACTAGCCACACTCAACTGGCCAAAATAGCCATACATGGCTAGCATGTTGGACACCACTGCTCTACAGACCTTTACGTACCTATCAACAGAAGACCTTCTGATGCCACCTAAACAGGATTAACTACTACCTCACTCCCAGTATCATTAGCACAAAGGCTGCTAACAATCCAGTCCCTGATATTGTTACATGAAAGAAACCTCTACCTGCTCTGGCAGCACGAAAGGGACTTTAATTGGGACTCATGCCTCGTCACACTGCCAGAGTGGTCTTCAAGAACCTTATGGGATAACTGAGAATTCAGGTTTGAGCGGAAGACACATTTTTCTGTAAGATAACATCGGAGTTGGCTTTTAATGCCAAGAGGACCAAGTAGAAGAACAAAGTAACTCCTGGGTAACTTGCAAGTCTGCACAACTACCTAGCTTTATACAAGAGTATTTTAAAGAGCTACTTACCGATGTTCTGTCAACACAAATATTCCAGAGTCAAGATCCAGAGGACTTGTGGCACCTACTGACGCCCCAGGGAAGAGGTATATTGTCCTGGCAACAAGGTGGGTCGTCTCTAGAATCAAGACGCATGTATTAATAGTGCAGAGAGTCATTCCATGAGCTTTTTAAGCCACATTTTCAATAAGCTATAGGAAGTAACCACAGACTAAGTGAGGTTTATGAGATGTTATCCATATAGGTGTGGAGGTGAGAAGTAGTGTTTCTGAATTACAGCCGATTCAGCGAGTTACTCTCATGCGTAAGATAGGCATGTGCTTAAGTAAGCTCCATTACGTTCAATGGCCTGTTTAAATATTGTGCTGAGTTTGTGCCCTAAATACTGAGTGTAAGACGCTACTGGTAGTGATCTCTTGAAAAGTAGTGACAACGGAAGGTTGGATCTCAGTCTGTAGTCAGAGGAAAAGAGGCAAAATGTCGAAGGTCTCTGGCCTGTAACAGGCATTACCAACAAGGGTAATAAAAGGATACCTTAGCCCAATCAAGAAGGAAAGCCTGACATCTAATGCCATGGATTGCCTTGAACCCTTCTCTCCTCTTTCTGCTCCTACACAAGGGATAGTATATTCAGATGTCAGTTGATATTTCAAATACAAAATGGTGAAGGCCAAAGAAACAAAACTCCCATGTAACTACTCCTATCAGACAAGGAAGATTTGAAGCACTAAACATACCTAATATTTTAGCTCTCTTCTCTTTGGATATAGCCAAACACCAAAGAACATTAACTGGTAGGTGTCATTTTTTCCACTAATCATCAGTGGCTTGCTTATTTACCTTTTGCTAGATAACATCTGCAATGTAAATGGGCCTTCAGTACACACAAACCAAGCACACAAACCAAGCACAGTCCCTGGATTTGGGACTTCCAGGCATGACTCTTAACCTCTCCTCAGCACTTTACTCTACTGCAATGGATTGGTTTAGGTCCATGTTTTGAGCAGCTATGTCTAGCTCTGGGTGCTTGATTGCAGTCAGCTTTGGGCCCCGTTTTCACCCACTAGTCCAAGCGAAGTTGGTGGAATCTCAGCACTCCTGAGAAAAGGAAGATCAGGCCCAAATCGGTCCCCAAGAACCTGAGGCATCCAAAAGCCAGAAGAGGAGGATACAGGTGCCCACATCAGGAATCTAGGCACATCCCTCAGTGGATTCACCCTGGGAGGCCATGGGATTTCTAAAATGAAGCTGCTTAAGTCTCACTAAGTCTTCTCCATAGCAGCTGCACCGTCCTCAGCCACACAAGCCCATTGCATATTCCAGAACATGTCCTCAACTGGCCCAGAATGCCCTGATAAGCCTAATAGCTCACAGAAGATACTCACATTCTAATGCTCTTTCCTTAGTTATCTCATTTGCTGCAGAATTATTAAAAAAAAAAAAAAAGTTAAAACCGACAAGAGTCTTTGACCTGGCTTATCTGGCTGGACTTTTGTTCCCTTTCTATCTTGCAGTTTATATTCCTCATGAGCTGGTTTACCAGTCCCTCCCGCCTCCCACAAGCACAGACTGTTTCGACATGCCAGAGTTGCTGTTGTTAACCTTCTCACTGACATTAGATCAGCCATCTGTATTCTCAAAGCTACCTTCTTCCAATGGGCTATTGAAGTGTTCGGCAGCCATAATCTCCCTCCACCCCATTGAATTGTGGGGTGCTGTTGCTGGGGGAAGAAGCAAGAAGTCTTTTTCCAAGGCTGAGGGGAGTGCATATGAGCCGAATCAAATCCCTTTCTTTCAGGAACTAGTACTGAAGTAGGAGAGCACAGTACCACCTCCCAGCATCCCCTCACTCTGGGAGGGCAAAGCTTTTAGACTTAAATTTGGCCACCCAACTTCAGGTGATTTGGGGCAGGCAGGAAAGGTAGGAGTTAAGTGATCTCTTTGGGCCCGCCCCATAGACAAAGCCCTTTTCTCCCAGTTTTTCAGCAGTAGGAAGAGATTAACAGTTATTTAATATCATGATGTTTCGGTTGAGTTTGCTAAAAATGTTTCCTAACAAAGTCGGGGGGGGGGGGGGGGGGGGAAGAGGTTGTGCCTTTAAGAGGCAGACGCCTGGTGCTGTCCCCTGAGGTACTTGCTGGGTTTCGTAATTGCGTTCAAGCCAATCGATGAAGACACAGAGTTTGTGATGCGCTAGAAAGCAGGTTTGGATAGTTTCCTCACCCGTCCCCACCTCCTGTCTGAATGTGGAGAGGCCAGGTGTATTCCCCTAGCCCCCTCTACAGGGTCTCTGCAACCCCATCCCTTTGCAGAACACACTTTAGCGAGATGGTCACCTTTCCTTGAGCATGTTCCTGTTTCCTAAGGAGGAAGTTTCCATCTGTCATCCAACGGAAAGCAGAAGCTGGTTTCAGGACAGCTCGTGAGAGAAAAGGTGCCCTCAGTTTCCTACAGGTCTGCTGTCTGGCCCTTCTCCTGCCCCAGGAGCAAAGGAAACGCAAGCAGCTGCCACCCCTCCATGTAGGGTTGCTCAGCACACACAGAACCAGAGCTGCTCTCTGGCAAGAGCCAAGGACACTTCGCTCCAAGGAGTAAAGTCTCAAGGTGCATGAGGCTCTAGAACTGGACAATAAGCAGCGTGAGACACCGATGCTGTTCACCAGGATTAGCCCCAGCAGGCCACCACATGCCTTGTTTACCCGAGTGTCTACAAGCTTCTGCTGCTTGCAGCTCCGGGTGGCTGCAGTGCGCCATTCCAAGCCCACAGAAATTGCAGTACAGGCTAGATCACATTGACTGGGCAAACCACAGCCACTGGGCAACGTGGATGCGCACGTAAAGGAGGCATCTGGCAGCCTGCAAAGGGACTAACTATGGCAAATGGCCTTTGGGCTGCTTATTACTGCTCCAGAACATGTACCGAGGGAGGGGAGAAGTACTTGGAAGGACCTTCCTTTGCTGAAGTCACCAGGAACTTGATTCTTTGGGCCCGCAATGCCCTGAGTCACACACAGGGTTGCTCAGCACTTGTGGAGGAAGCGATGAAAATTGGTTGAGATTCCAGGTGAGGGCATTCTTGAACCAGAGTTCAGTTGGAGCAGGAAATCCTGCAGGAAATCCCACACTCCCAGGCAAAGAATGCCATTGACCAAGAGACAGAACTAAGATGGTTTATTAGGTGATGAGCTTTCATGGGCCAGACCCACTTCCTCAGATCAATTTGTGGAAGAAAATGGATCTGAGGAAGTGGGTCTGGCCCTCGAAAGCTCATCACCTAATAAGCCATCTTGTTAGTCTTTAAAGTGCTACACAGTCCTGTCTTTTGTTTCAGCTACACCAGACAAACATGGCCACATCTCTATCACTATTGACCAAGAGGGAATCCTCGGCTCTCGGTAGCATTTCCACATACTCACATTGAGTGCCCGGGAGGAGAGAGGCATTATTCCTGTATGTTGGCAGGAGCTCTTTTAGGGCAAGGTAGCATTAGATATATTGTTTATCCTTTCCACCTACTCTCCCTGAATCCAGCTACTTCCTGCCAAGATTGCCACAATTTAATCTGGAGCAGAGCGAACCTCTGAAGTTCAGATTAGTTTGACATCAATGAAATAGGTTTCTTCTGTCAGCTGCCCGGTGGGTCTTTTAGAGAGAGCAAAACCTGACAAGGACTTGAAGTTACAAATTAAAGCATTTGGGGAGGAGTTCAAATGCTTCCCCCAAGCCAGTATTCGAGTAAGATTCTTAAGCAGCTCAAACCAGTTCAAGCCATAGCATGGTATGGAAGACATTCACACTTGCCTGTGGTGGGCAGAACTGTTTTAGGCAAGTTCCGTCAACTCCTGTCGAATTTAAGCTTTTCAAAAACCAACACACAAAAGAGTCTCTAGCACTTGTACTGCAAAACTGAACGTAGCCAATAGTGTTTGATCTTCCACTGGCGATAGACACTCTTGTGCCTCTACCGACACTCAGAGCTCTGCCAAAGCAGCAGAGTGAGAAATGGCCATTGCTGGAACACCATCATAAAGAAAACAAGGATTTGGGAAGTTTCCTGAAGTCAGTACAGTTGAATGGATTGTACAGATCTTGCTGGTTATACAAGATTTAGTCATCAATCTTATGAATTATGTACTAGCTAGAAGGGCATAACTTTAAACCATCAAGTCCTAGTGGAAGCAAACAGCTTAAAAACCAGGACACCCTGAATGAACTGTCTTACAGGTCCTGTGTTGCACCTACTCTGCAATATACCCAGGAAGGTAAGGGAGTCTCTAGAAGTCCAAAGGCAAAACTGATTTCTATACCAGAGGACATGGAGGAAATATTCCCTCCAAGTAATGTTGGAGTCATTCTTCCTCCAAGAGTTGGAAGAAGGCTCATTTTAAAACAGATCTGAAATCTCCCTTGGATCACCGCCAGTAAGTATATGCCACTCAGTAGGTCTAGCTCACAGGGCAAGCCAAATACATCCCCACACCTTTAATTAACCTGGAGTACAGCAGACTCCACCGCTTTGCAGTGTTATTGTGCTCTTCACAGGTACAGCCGGTAGAAGGTCCCAGATCCTAAGTCTTGATCAACTATAAGGGAAATTTGTTTGTCCAGGGGCTCTGTTAAATCCCATGATTCTCCATCTTTTTCTTAAGATCAGGATTTTCCAGCAGAGTGAGAACTTTTGCAAATTTTTTTTTGTTGTTTTACCTGATCATTCATTCTTTGTCCAGCTGCCCAAGATTCCAGTACTTCTCTAGAGAAGGTCACGGGAAGTTTCAGCTGACTTGTTTTAGTTTTGGCAAAGTTACAGGAGGTATAAAATGCTTTTAAACACAGAGTCAGCATTTCAGCCAGGGACAGAAATAGCCACCTTTCCACAAGTAGCAAAGCTATATTTGCACTTTGCATAGGGTTATGTTATATAGCCATCTGCCCTAAGCACCTTAGTATCTAGGCACACAATTTTTTTTAATAAAAGCAAATAGTACAGCAAGCACTTTTCCTCAGGATTCGAGGATTTTAACATTTTTGACTCTTCAAAAACACAAAACAATCTGGACTTCTGTTGATGGGATTACATTCAAGACTGGATTTTAGTCAGACCTCCAAGTGCCCCAAGTAGTCTTTTCTTGGGGTTCACCAATTGCATAAATCTCAGTGGAGCACAATCATTTGGGCAAGTGGTGGGCAACAAATTGGAGTCTCAAAACTGCCAAGTCCCAACATGGGAAAGCTTTCAGAGATCAGGAACAAGACAGAATTTGTTCTGGAAATTAACAGGGGAAGTAGCTTCTGCAGAGCACCAGGGTGAGAGTTTTCATTGGCTTTTACTGGTGAAATAGTTGCAGATTCCATATGGTGATGAGGCAACTTAAATTGAAAATGATGAAAGCACAGATTGTACAGTCTACTGTAGCTCCCTGTACACAAGATTTGGGTGTAGTGCCCTAGCCAGCCAAAATTGTATGCTCTCTAGTCATGATTAAAACACACTGCTCAAGTCTCTAGTGCATTTGGTTAAAGTCATTCAGCTCTGAGCAATCAGAACTCTTAACTCTCTCATAACAAGATTAGCCTGAACTTTGGTGCATTTCAAGTTTGCGTACATATTTCAGAAAAACCGTCCTATCTGAATGAGAAAGTCTGCCTCATAGCATGAGCACTTTAAACTCACAGCAAAAACTTCAACTCAAAGCTAGTTTATAAACGCCCAGTATTGTGGAGGAAGGGGGGGGGGGGAGGGGAGTAAAATGACTAAGCTTTACATAATTACTCTATGTCTGATGGGTTAAAGGTTCTTTAGTGACTGGACTGGTTTAAAAGCAGTTATTAAAGCCTTTGTCCCATCCTGCCAGATACTAAGTGCTCTTGCCAGACAGCCTACTGACCCAGCTCTGACCTACTGTACTGCAGATGCAAGAGAGGAGTGCCTGTGTTTGCAGACTCCATACTAAAGCTGAACGCAGAACCAAGTTCCCTTCAGAAGGAAAGACATATGCTCTGGAACATGCTACAGCCTCTTATACTGAGCCCAGAAAGGAACATGAGTCACTGGTCTCATCTAATGTGGGAGGAGAGCAAGTCATGAAAGGAAACAAGCTTTAGAGGGGTTTTCATGGAAACTGGCTTCTATGGAACCTTACTTGACTTTCGGAAGTGCCAGACGCCAGCATTATGCTGTTACTACATCAGCCCTCCAAAGGCTAGAAAGCCACACTGCAGAAGACACCAGTCTTCCTTTTATACCTCGCATCTTTGCCCCAAGCAGAAGCTTCTCCTCCTAACCCAGCATGCTCATTCCCCCTTCCCAAAAAAGAAAATGATCCCTCCAGTTACTCTATCCTGTCAAAGTGGGGTCCAGAGATGCCTTAACCTTTCACCCATGTCCTAGACCCAACCCGGGGGGCACAGTTGAGGAGAAGGTTATGCACAAGGGAGCTTATCCCTCACAAAAGAGGGAAAAAAACCTTGGCAATTATATTGCAGTAAGGCAAATTTTTTATCATTAGGAATATAGTGAAACAAGTCACTACAAGTGTAGAGTCTATTGGAACTGGAGGCATTCTATACTGTGCCTCACGAAGTCTTAACCGGCACATTCATTCAATTGGCTCAGACGAAATAACTTGTGGATTGTGAGCCGACTGGAAAACTATAAACAAAATAGCTATGACAAGTAGCAAAGTCACACACAGAGAGGTACTGAGAAAGCAGCCTTAAGACTTGTTTTAACATGCTCATTCGTTATCCATAATATTTTGGTCATTCAGTATCCAGATGACTTAGTGACCAAAATATTATGGACAGCCACATAATAATCAAACACCAAACACAGCAGGTATCTATCTTGCTGCCAGGTAGCCGAGGGGTCTGGTTTTTCACAACACTTGTACAACTTGCAATCCCCAAAACATCTCATTAAACTGATCTGACATTCTTAGATTAAGTGGGAATGGGCTGCAGATCCCGCCACTGGGAATGAAAAAACAGAGACAGCAGAGAGATGGGCAGAAATTGTATAGAGATTCGTCCCGCCACTGGGAATGAAAAAACAGAGGGGGTGTCCAGAGACAGCAG